CCGCTGCTGCGGCAGTACGGGGTGGTGGTGCTGGACGAGGCGCAGGAGCGCACGGTGCCCACGGACGCGCTGCTGGGGCTGCTCAAGGACGTGCTGCTCCAGCGCCCGGCACTGCGGCTCGTGGTGGTCACCGCCCCTGCCCTGGAGCCGCGGCTGCGCGCTTTCTGCGGGGACCCCCCCGTGGTGCGGGTCCCGGGCCACAGCCCCCCGCCACAGCTGCTCTACCGGGAGCCGCTGGCCCGCGGGCGCGTGGCCGCTGCCTGCCAGGCCGTGCTGGACATCCACCGGCGCCAGGAGCCCGGCCACATCCTGATCTTCCTGGCCAGCGAGCAGGTGAGCCGTGGGGGGAACAGGGCGGGAGAGGCTTGGGGGTCCCTCTCAGTGGGGAGCCCTGAGGATGCTAAGGCATGCTGGAGACTAAACTAGGGGAGCTGAGGCTCCTCTGCAGAGGGGCTGTGAGTGCTGATGGGCAGTGGAAGACGGGTGCGAGGCACGGAGCAGCACCCTGACCTCGGGATGGGGACGCTTCAGGTGTCAGCAGGTGTCACCTGTGCCCCCCTGTCCTTCCCTAGGAGATCTCCGAGTGCTGTGCTGCCATCCAGACGGAGGCCGTGGCACTGAGCCCGGCTCTGGGCCCACTGCTGGTGCTGCCGCTGCACCCTGGGGTGGGCCGGGCCGCACAGCGACTGTACGAGGCGCCCGAGGAGAGCCGGGAGCGGCGCGTCATTGTCACCCACTGGCTCGGGGACTCGTCCTTCTCTCTGGGCACCGTGCGCTTCGTCATCGACTCGGGGCTGGAGCTGCGCAGCGTGAGTGGCATGGGGGACAGGGAGGGTTGGCTCTGCTCCAGGCACAGTGGGGCATGGGCTGCAGGGTCTGCTCAGCTGTTGCGACGCTCCAGGCTGGGATGAGGGAGGTGGCAGTGGTGGCCCTGCACTGGTAGACGAGGGGGCCTCGGGGGATGGTGGGGGCTCCCCTGCGGTGTCCCCCTCACAACCTCACTGCAGGTGTACAACCCCCGCATCCGTGCCGAGTCCCAGGTGCTGCGGCCCATCAGCCGGAGCCAGGCAGAGTCCCGCATGCAGCGGGCAGCTGGCAGCCCCCCAGGTGAGACGTCTGCCCCGCTGTCCCCCCTTGGGGCTGTTGTCCCACCCGCTGGGACCCCTCGCAGCCATGTCCCACCTCATGGCCCCTCTCTGCAGGCACCTGCCTGCGCCTGTACTCAGAGGCCTTCGAGCAGCGCCTGCCCCCCAGCCCCGCGCCGCATGTCAGTGAGACCAGCCTGAGCCGCCTCGTGCTGCTGCTGAAGCGCCTGGACATCGCTGACATGGGCCAGTGCGACTTCCTTGACCGCCCAGGTAGAGCCTGTGGGGTGGGGTGGGGACCAGGCATGCTGTGGGGGGCTGTGCCAGAGAGCTGCAGGCTGGCCGTGGCCATGACTGTGGCCTGGACTGTGGAGAGAGGCTGGGGGGCCTGGCAGCTGTAGGAGGAGGGTGGGCAGAGCTGCCTGACATCCCACCCCAGCCCCTGAGTCGTTGATGCAAGCGCTGGAGGACCTGGACTACCTGGCGGCTCTGGATGACGATGGGAACCTGTCAGAGGTGGGGATCATCATGTCAGAGTTTCCGCTGGACCCGCAGCTGGCCAAGGCCCTCATCGCCTCCTGCGAGTTCGACTGCGTGGAGGAGATGGTCAGCCTGGCTGCCATGCTCACAGGTACCGTGCGGGGGCAGCCAGCACTGCAGGGGGGTGCTGGGGGCACACCGTGACCCCCCTGCCCACCCTCAGTGTCCCCCTGCTTCGTGCCCCCATCCACACACCTGGAGGAGGCCGTGGCCCTGCGCCGCCGGGCACTGCTGCACCCCAACGGGGACCACTTCACCCTCATCAACATCTTCAATGCCTTCCAGCAGCGTGAGCATGGGCAGGGGCTGAGGGCGGGGGGCTGCACTCCTGTGGGCATCCCACAGACCCCTCAGTGTCCCCTGCACCCCTGCAGCTGTCCCACAGCCACCCTGCGTTGCCCCTGTACCACGGCAAGCATCCCACAGCCCCCTCACCTGCCCCCTGCTCCTTTGTGAACCGGTACTGCAGCTGTGTTCCTGACCCCAGCCCAGTCCCTGTCCCTGGTGCGGGGAGGGGATGCAGCCCGTGGGAGCTCTGCCAGCTTGTGTAACCCCTGAGCCCCCAGCCCTCTGAGGTCTCTGCTCCCCCATCCCTGTGGCGTTGGCTCTGCTGTCCTGTCCCCGTGTCACTGACCTTGGTGTTGAATTCTTGTCCCTGTATTGCTGTCCCATCCCTCTGCCCATGTCACCGGCCCTGCTGTCCCATCCCGATCCCCACACCACTGACGCTGCTGTCCTGCAGACGCCGGGGACGAGGGCTGGTGCCGGAAGCACGGGGTGGGTGTGGAGGAGCTGCGCCTGGCGGGCACCGTGCGCGCAGAGCTGCTGGAGGTGATGCGGCGCATCGAGCTGCCAGTCTCACCGCCCGCCTTCGGCTCCGACGCCAACACCCTCAACATCCAGCGGGCCCTCATCTCTGGGTACTTCCTAAAGGTGGGCCCAGGGGCTGTGGGGGGCTGCGGAGGGCTGCGGGGGGTGTGCCAGCCACCCTGCTCCCTCCTGCTCCGCTCCCAGGTCGCACGCGACATTGACGGCTCGGGCAACTACGTGATGCTGACACACAAACACGTGGCACACCTGGCCCCTGCCTGCGGGTACCTGCTGCGGCCGCCCCCCCGCCGCCCGCCCCCATGGGTGCTCTACCATGAGTTCACCATCTCCCAGGACAACTGCCTGCGTGTGGTCTCGGAGATCCAGCCCCAAATGTGAGGGCTCGGGGACGGGGACGGACAGGGCCCTCCAGGGGGTCCCCACTGCTGACTGACCCCCTGTGCCCACAGGTTGGTGGAGCTGGCCCCCCAGTACTACCTGAGCAACCTGCCACCCAGCGAGGGCCGGGACCTGCTGATGGAGCTGCGGGAGAAGATGGTGGCAGCGGAGGATGCGCCGCCAGGGCCAGAGCCACTGGAGGAGGCGGCCGGACGGGAGGCTGTGGAGGGGGACGTCTGTGTCCTGCAGTGAGCCGGAGCACCGGAGCCCCGAGGGGGGCTGTCTGGGCTTGGCTGTGACACTGGAGCCGGGGGAGCCCTGGAGGGTCCCAGGGAGGTGCGGGCTGACCGGGCACGGCCTCAGCGCTGCACTGTGGTCAGTCATGGACCAGTGGCTGTGGGGCCACCGCAGCACCTCAGAGCACAGACTGGGGAGTGCTGGCCCCAGCTGGGGGAGTCGTGGGGGCCCTCCCCACCGGGCTCCTTCCCCCCGTCTTGTCCCAGGGTTCTGCTGGGGTGGGGGCACTGCCTGTCCTGCTCCCCCCATGCCCAGGGTCGAGGGGCAACACACGGGTCCCTCCTGTATAAAGTTTTGTGACCTTTGTTCCTGGCCTCGTGTCCGTGACTGTAGCCAAGGGGTCCAATCAGGGTGGGGTCTGTCCTGCCAAGGGACACCGCGGACGGGTCTGGCTGTGGTGGGCTCTGTCACTGCTCCTTCCCTCTGGAGAGTTTCTGGCTGTGAGGCCTCACTCTCCTCCCACCTCTGTTTCAAGTGTCATGCTGGGGCCCCAGCCATGCTAAGGTCTGAGGGCAGCCCTGGCCTTTTCACCGGGGCTTCCCTTCCCTGGTTGTGGTTCTTCTGCAGAAGCCAAGGGGAAGCTGTGGCCAGCGAGGGGGGGTGAGCAGCCCCCCAAACCTGCTGCTGGTGCCTCCTCCCCCCAGATGGGACAGGGCATGGAGGCACCTCCAGTAGAGGTGCCTGCCCTCCTCCCTCCCCTCTTGTGGTCCCCCCTTCCAGCCTCAGAATCCCCTATAGCCCTACGTCCCCTACTATGGCCAAGGGCTGAGCCTCTGCCTGGGGGGTTGGGGGTCCTGCCTCTCCCTTCCCTCCCTGCAGCCCATGCACAGGGGCTTGGCTCTGTTCAGGAAGGGTCCTGGAGGCTCCACTGCCCTGTGCTGGCCACAGTGACTCGAAAGGTGAGGGCTGGGCTCCCCAAGGCTCCCGCAGCCCCCGCTTCCCCTTTGCTTTCTAGGAACCCCAGAAAGTACATGAGCAGGCACAGCGTTCCCCTTCCAGGGTGGGGGGCTGCCCTGTGCCCTCACCCTGAGTTGGCAGCGGTTGCAATGGCAAAGGGGGGGGCTGATGGCTACAGTGGCCTCTGTCCCTGTGACCCCATCCCTGCACGGTGTCTCATGGCACGTGCAGTGGCCCAAGGAGGGGAGGGAAGGGAAGGGACAAAACAACCTGTGCTGCAGCCCACGCAGCAGGGCCCAGCCCCGCTCTGGCCCTCAGGGGCCAGCGCTGATGGACCTCAGATGGTCCCACTGGACCACCGATGGTCCCACCCCACGGCAGGGTGCTGTGGGGGCTCTGTGGGGCATGTGACGATGTGCAGACCCTTGGGGCGGTGCAGGGCTCGGGACTCCTCTGGGGGAGCTGGGACCGGCCAGGACCCCGGCACCATCCCGCTTGCCCCCTGCTGCCCCTCGCCTGGCCATTCCTGGGTTGACCCGTCCTCCAGCGGTCAGGGCAGGGCAGCAGGTGCCTGGTGACCCCTGCCCGGGAAGTACCAGCGGTGAGTCCCGGGGCTGGGTGGGTGGGGGGCTGAGCGTGGGTCCCACACAGCCTCTCTCCACTTCTGAGAACTGTGATGCTGCTGTGGTTGCACCTTGGGGCACCCCCATGGAGTCCAGCCCAGTATAAATTGGCAGCCCCCGGCCCCACCGTGCCCACTGGAGCGTCAGGCACAGAGGTAGGCAGAGCACGGGAGGGTGGGGGGTCCTGGGATGACGGCGGGGGATCTCGAGGGTGTCCTACTCAGGGATGCTACTCCCAGGGCCAGGGACTTTGCCCTTGTTGCCCCTGCTGGCTCTGCCCCTCTCCCGGGGTATGTCCAGCCCCCCACCCTGGGGCTGCCCTTCCCCTACCCTTCCCTTCCCCTCCCAGATGCTGAGCCTGGTGGGGCTGGTGCTGTGCCTCGTGCCTGTGGACACCCTGACTGCCTTCCCCCCAAAGTGTGAGTGCTGCTGCCACCCGGGCACAAGGGAGGCCTTGGAGGGGGAACCTCCCAGTGGGAGGGGGCTGCAGGGATCTCACACCGATTGGAGGGAGTGGGGGGCACACCTGTCCTGCATCCTTCTGACAGGGCTTGGGACAGCTCTGCTCAGGGGGTTGAGAGAGGGTATGAGGGTGATGAGAGGTGGCTGTGGGGTGAGGGAGAGGGGGAATGGATGTGGGGTGATGGATGGAGCAGGTGGGAATGGATTTGGGGTGCAGGAGCAGGGTGGGGACTGTGGGGCAGGATGGCTGAGAGGCACCCAGCCCCATGCTGCTGTGAGGGACAAGCTGCCCCCATCACAGCCCATCTCTGACCTCAGGCTCTGCCTCTCACCTCCAGTCAGGTGGGGAAGCTGAACGGGGATGTGGTGGTGCAGTGTGACACGTTGGAGCCACACATCAGCTGGACACTGAACGGGGAGCAGGAGCCCATGGCTGAACTGGTGGCCGAGGGCCAGAACCTCACCATCCTCGGCTTGGACTTGCCAGCCACGGGCAACTACAGCTGCTGGGCCGGCCCAGTCCTGCTGGACACCACCTACGTGGTGGTCAGCAGCACCTGTAAGGGGGGACACTGCTGGGAGAGCCCGGAGGGGGGGATGATGGGGGGCAGGGGACAGGCTGGGGACCCGGAGCTGCTCGCGTGTTGTCCGTGGGAACGCAGCAGGCAGGGCTTTGGGGCTGGGGGAGCCTCGCCAGTCCTGTGCAGGGAGGGGGCACTGCTCCTGGCCCCACGCAGCCCTGACCCCCCTTGGCCCCCAGACGAAGAGGAGATCGACGTGACCTGCCAGGCTGAGTCCTACTACGGCTCCTTCCACTGCTCCTGGCCCGGGCCCCCCTCTGCCATCTTCCGTGCCCGCCTCACACACAGGTGTGTGCCCTGGGACCTCCCAAGCCCAGCCCAGCCCCTCGGCTGCCCAGCCCTCACACGTGCTCACACCTCCCTCCCTGCAGCGATGGCTCCGTGGGCCTGTGGGTGCCAGTGGCCGGGGGCCACGGCCAGTTCAGCATCAGCCTGGCCGACCCCTCATTTTGCCCCTTCGGTGAAGAGCTGCGTCCGCTGCAGCTGCACCTGGAGGGGCTCTCAGATACCTCCTACCTCAGCCTCTCCAGGCACTTCTTCCTCCGTGACATTGGTGAGCTCAGGGCAGCAACAGCCCGAGGGATGGGGATGTTCAAAGGGCACCGGGGGCTCTGATGGGGTCTCAGCCCCCATCCTGAGCCCCCTCTGCCCGCAGTGCGTCCTGACCCGCCCCAGGAGCTGACCCTGCGGTGGCAGGGGGAGCAGCTCCACCTGGCCTGGGCACCCCCAGCCTCCTGGCAGCTCCCCAAGTCCTACTTCTCGCTGCTCTACCATCTACAGTACGAGCTCCCCAACGGCACCCAGGTAACCCCTCATGCACCCACCCTGCCCCAGCCCGGGCTCTTCCCTGTGCCAGGGGGGCACTGGGAACAGGGACTCTGCAGGCTCAGCCCTGGCCCCCTCCCCACTCCTCTGCTTCTCTCCTTGAGGCAACGAATTGTCACCCCTGGCTGTCACCTCTGCTCCCCCAGCTCTGCCCCCCCACTCTTTTGCAATGGCTTCCCCCTACTCCCAGGATCTGCCCAGGCCATGACCTGCCCCCTTTGCAGGTTGAGCGGTTCGTGGAGGGCGTGGAGGAGACACAGGTGCAAGTGGGTGCACAGCGAGTGCGCATCAGCTGCCGGGACCCCTACACCCCCCCGGCTTGGAGCCCCTGGAGCCCCTGGCAGGACCTCAATGCACCACAATAATGCTGGCTCTGAGCACACTGACCCCACGCACAGACATCTCCTTTCCCTCCCCCAAACCTCTGGGGGACCCCCATGGGACAGCCACAAGCACCAGCACCCTGGTGCTCTCCCTTGTACTGCTCAGAAAAGGCTTTTTCCCTTGTTAAAAAGGTTTTTTCCCCCCTATTAAAGCACTGGGCTTGGTTCTGCTACTACAAACCCTGGTCTGTGTCTGTGTGGGTGCTGGGCCCCCACAAAATCTGCAGGGGGCTCCTGGCCAGTGCAGGGCTTGGCCCTAGGGTCCTTCTATATGACTGGGACAGGCTCCCCACATGCTCCAGCCCAGCTCATGGACAGCCCAGGGGGAGGGTCCCCACAGCCCTGCCAGCTACCCATAGGTGCCCTGGACCACCTCTAATCCTCACTGACTCCCCTTAATCCTCACCAACTACCCCAGATCTGCTTCCATTCTGGAGGCTGAAGTGGGGTAACATCCTCAGCCTCAGGGGCAGCACCCAGGGGACAAGTCCTGAGGGGCAGTGCCCTGTCCCCATGTCCTGTGGAGCAGGGTCCTACCCTGACCCCAGGAGCACGAGGCCTAGGGTAGGACATGGCCATGGCACCAGTGGGGGTGCCAGGGGCCACCCGGCAGCACTGGGGGGCTGAGCTCCCACTAGAGCTGTGTCTGGGCCCCCACAATGTGCCCCCTCAGTGTTTGTGGGGGTGCCCAGCCCAGGGCCAGGGATGGCACCATGCGGGATGGAGCCCAGACCCCTCCATGAGCTCCTCCCCTTGGAGCCACCCCCGGGCCCCTACTCTGCCACAGACCCCCGGAGAGCAGAGGATGCTCCTCCCACCCCCTCAACCCCCAGACGGGCCTGCTCCGGGTGATGCCACGGAGCTTTATTGAAGTGCTTCTGCACGGGTCTGGGCTGGGACCCCCACCGGGACCCCCACCCCAGAGAGGCTGGTGAGTGTGTGGCCCCATGGGCACTGCCCTCCTGGGGGTCCTGGGACAGGGGGCAGGCGGGGGGCACAGGAGTCCGGGAGTCCGTGCCACGGTGGGGGACAGAAGGACCAGGACTCTGTGCGTCCCGAGTGGTCCAGAGGGTCCGAGGGTACCACGGCCCGGGGTCGGGGGTCCTGGGGCACAGGAGTCGAGGGTCTGGGGTTCGGTGGAGGGACCGGGGTCCGATCACAGCGGGACAGGGGATCTGGTGGTGGGCTGAGGGTCCGGTCACAGTGCCGGGGGTCCGGTGGTCACGGCGGGTCCGGTGATAGGACCCTGGCTCCAGCGGTCCGGTCATGGCGGGGCCAGACCGCCCAGGCGCAGCTCCTCGCTCTCCAGCATCTCCCTGGAAGAGAAGCGCCGGCATGTGAGCCCCGCGCTCTCCGCGCCCCCCGCGCCTCCCCCCGCGTACCGGTACGCGGCGATCTCCGCCTCCAGTGCCATCCGCAGCCGCAGCAGCGCCGGGTACTCCCGCAGGCACCGGGCCATCTCCGCCTCCGCCGCCCCGATCTCCCGCTCCAGCTCCGCCACCCGCTCCTGAGCCGGGCCGTCAGCACTGCCGAGACCGCGGGGCGACCCCCGAGCAGCCCGGCCGAACATCTTCCCCACAGGGACACTCAGCCTGACACTAGCCCCGCACGGACCCCCACCACCGACCCGAACCCCGCCTAACACGGACTCCCGGGATCTCTGGCCCGGCCCCCGCCCCGCACGGACCTCAGGGATCCTCAGCCCCACACCAACACCCACCCACAAGGACACCCGAGCCCCCGCCCCACCCAAACATCCCCATACCAGCCTCCCGCTGCCTCCCCAGGCCCCTCAGCTCCACGGGGACCCCCTGACCCCGCCCCTCCCCATCCTCCCACTTCGCCCCACCCCTCCAGGCATCCAGCCCCGGCACCACCCTCCCCAGCATCCACCCCCTCCTCCCATCCCAGTCCCCCGCTCCCTCCCAGCCCCCCAGGCACTTCCAGACCCCCTCTCATCCCGCACCTGGTACTTAGCCAGCTCCCCGCTCCGCCGGTCCCGCAACCCCTCCAGCTGCCGGTGTAACGCACCCACCGCCCCCCGCAGCGCCTCCACCTCGGCGGCTCGGGCTCGCAGCAGCCTCCGGTAACCGGCGGCCTCAGCACGGGCACGGAGAACCGCCTCGCCGCCACCGCCCCACCGGCACCGGGGCCGGCCCTCAGCCGCGCTCATGCCGATGGTGATGCTGTTCCACTCCCCCCCGCGTCACGGAACAGCAGCCAATCCCGCCGGTACCGACTGTCCGACTCCTCCCGGCAGCAACGGAGGCGGGGGACCGGCAGCAGCCTGCCCCCCAAAAGTGGGGCAAGGGGCCGCAGCGTCGTGGATAGCAGTCAGGTGGGGGGCAAGGTCGAGTTCGGGGTCAAGGTCATTGCTGTTCCCCCCCTTCCTCCTCTCCATCATCACCAGTTGAGGCCAGAGTGGGGCTGGAAGGTCTCGTGGGGGGAAAACCCGTACTTGGGGGGTCACTGGGTCTCTTAGGGGGTCACCCCTCCACCCCCCCACGAGTGTGCTGTGGGTCGTGAAGGCTCAGTCTGTGGGAGGTGATGGGGATCCTAGGGGGATTCAGGGGCTGGTGCACCCCATCAGCATAGGGAGCACCCCAAGTCCATGACAGGGTGCCGTGGGGGCACATCTGGGCCCAGGGAGCTGACAGATCAGTGAGTGCAGGGCCAGGGGCCCAGTCCATCAGTCTGTCCCACCACTGGGGTGGAGCTGGGGTGGCCAAATTCTTCATCCAGCATGGTGGGCACAGCTGGAAGCCAGAGGTGGCAAACTCCAGGGATAAGGCAAGTGGTGTGGTGGGTGCAGACCCCACTGGGTCTGGGGGGGGGGTGTCTCCCAGCACCAGGAATGGGATGTCCACACTGTGCCTTGCTCCAGGTGGGCCAGGGACTGTGGCTGCCCCAGTCTGACCCATGGAGCCGCTGGTGGGTTGGTAGCAGGTCCTGAGCAGGGACCCCTGAGGAGTTGCCCTGGCACAGGGCCCCTAGGGTGGGGAGGCTGCAGAGCTCTGCAGGGTGTAGGGGCCTGTCTGTGGGCTCCCAGGGGTCCAGGCAGGGGGCTTCCCACAGCGGTGCTCCAGGTGGGATTCGGTAAAGCTTTGAGTCCAATTGCAGGGGCATGGCCACCCAGCCAGGGGGTCCAAGGGGGCTGTCAGTGGCAGGGAGGGGGCTGCCCATGAGAGGCTGCAGCTCCCTCCCTGCTGCAGGCTGGGCTCCCACTGCCACCTCCCGGCACATCGGCAACACCCGGGGCCCTCACACCACGGAGGCCACCCCCGAGACCGATGTCACCTTGTTGTCCTCGGCCCAGGGCTGGAGGTTCTGCAGGGCGTAGAGCGAGGAGTTGTGCATGCAGAGCGGGTCCTGCGGCAGCGGCTGTGCCAGGCTCTTCTGGAAGGCCTCCTGCTGCAGGTGCAGCATCAGCCGGTTGGCCTGCTGCCGCTCCGCCTCGCGCTCCTCCGCCGTCTGACGCCTGCGGATACCCACCCATGGTACGGACCACAGCTGGCACCGCCAGCACTGCCCCACAGCCCTGTCCCTTGGCCCTCAGCACCACTGTGTCACTGTGGTACCGCCCCACAGCCCCGTCCCTCGGTCCTCAGCACCACCCTGTGTCAGTGTGGCACCGTCCTGCAGCCCCGTCCCTTGGCCCTCAGCACCGCCGTGTGATGCTGTGGCACATCCCATGACACCATCAGACTTCATCCAGCTGGGCACAGGGGATGCCACAGTGATGGACGTCTCATCCCTCCCCAGTCCAGCCTCTTGCAGGGTGGGGGGGCTTAGCTGTAGTGGGGGGCAGCTGCTGGGGGGATCCAGGGGAAGGGCTGCCAGAGGGATGCGGGGTTGGGCTGCCAGAGGGATGTGGGGGGTGTGGTTGTGGCAGCTGCCCTGTTACCTCCACTTGGTGCGACGGTTCTGGAACCAAGTCTTGACCTGGGCATCTGTCATCTTGAGGGCCTTGGCCAGGGTGGCACGCTCGGCCGAGGCCAGGTACTTCTGCCGGTGGAAGCGCTTCTCCAGCTCGCAGATCTGCACCCGGGAGAAGGACGTCCGCGGCTTCTTGCGTTTGGGCGGTGTCCGGTTCTGGTAGGGGTGCCCAATGCGCCGCGTGGCCGTGAAGGGGGACAGTGCAGCTGTGGGGAAAGTGGGGTGATGGGAAGGCTCTGGAGGGGACCCCAGCAGAGCAGGGCAGAGCAGGAGCCTGGGGGGATGCTGGGGAGCTCGGGGCCATGGGGACCCCGCCACCTTGGGGTGGCGATGAGGAGCTCTGGGGGAGCCAAGGGACAAGGAGCTCCAGGAAGCCACCAGTGCTGCTGGGGAGGGGAAGGGAGGGGACACCCTGGAAGCCACCAGTGCTGCTGGGGAGGGGAAGGGAGGGGACACCCTGAGTCATCCCTACCCACTCCCCCAGCCCAGAGACCCAGGGGCAGCTCAAGAGGTAGTTCAAGGGAGGACCCTTTTCCACTGCACAGCCACAGCATGATCACTCCCCAGCCCAGGGGTGGGCACCAGGACAGGGTGGATGGGCTACTCTGGTCACAAGATGATGCAGGACCATCAGGCTCCAGCTGCACAAACCACCCTCCCCAGACACCAAACCCCGTCGCAGCCCCCAAGGAGCCTTCGCCACTCAGCAGGGGCTGCCCAGCCCTCCCGGGTAGGGGGTGGGACCCTAGAAGGTGTCAGAAGGCAGATGGTGTCTCCCTCCATGTCCCAGCATCTGCCTCCATGTGCCAGCAGTGCCCAGCTGACCATCGGCAGCTGCTGGAGTGCCGGGGGTCGGTGTCCCTTCCCAGAGGAGGTGTGACCCAGACCTGGCTAGGCCAGTGTGTCGCATTCCCGAATCCAGCTGGAGCCGCAGGGAGCTTCACGGCAGCAAAGTGGCGTGGGGAAAGGTGAGGGTTTAGCGGGGTCAGCACCCAGCACCCACTGCCCTCCTGCTCCAGTAGCAGCCATGGCCATACCATGGTCCCGCGGCCCCATGGCCCTGTGGCACCACAGCCTTATGGCACCTTGTGTCAATGTGGTCATCACCAGGGCCAGCGTGGGCAGGGCTGGACATGGCCCGGCCCAAGGGTGACCGTGCGACCTGGGCCCCCATGGCACAGGGACATGGGGCACAGCCCACAGCACCCCGGGGTCCTCCTGACGCCCGCAGACCCTCCCTCCCACCTGCGCCCAGGAGGCCGCCTGCCCGCCGGCGGGGGCGGATGCGGTTGACGCAGGTGGAGCCGCGCAGTCGGGGGGATGGAGGCCCCCGCACCCCTCCCCGCGCGGGGCGGCCCCAAGCCGGGACCAGATGCCGCCTGCCCGCAGCCCACCCCAAGGCCAGCGCTGAGTGATGGCTGCGGCTGGGAGACCCCGTACTGGGAGGGGCCGCCCCATCCACCCACCACCGGCGCCAGGCAGGAGACGAGGACGTCACCCACCACCCCTGCGCGGGGACGGTGCTTCGTCACCGCTGTGATGGCGGGCCGGGAGGTGAACATGGTTCTGCTGGCGCCCAGGTGGGACCGCCACTGTCCCCAGCCTCCCATCCCACACTGCCCCATCACCCCGTGGCCGGTGCTCAGTCCCCAGCCCCACATGGCCCCCGGCCTCGTCCCCACATGCGGCCGCGCTGCAGACGTGGCAGTGCCGCCATCTTGGGTGGGAGCCGAGCTGAGCCAGGCCGGGGTCCGTGGCACCCACAGGCAGTCCCAGTGCCTGGGACCCCGACCTCAGCACCCGCTCGTGCTCCTCAGGGGTGCAGCAACCCTGCGCCAGCACCGGCACTCAGCCCTCACCGTGGCACTCAGCCCCCGGCCCCACCGGGACCCTTCACGGCCTCCACAACACCCATGCCTCTGTCTGCTCACCCTGGCCCCAACACAGGCCCACCCTGGTCTCTCCCACAGCACCAGCACTCTGTGTTCTGCACCAATCCCTGCACATGTGGGTCTGGGGGTCCCATCCCCACACATCCCACAGACATTCACCTCCACCACCCCCATTCTCTGAGGTTCATGGGTCTAGGGCACCCACTCTATACACGGACAGGCTTTGTCCTGCAGTCCCATGTCAGGTCCCCCCACCCTACACCCTGTCCCCATGAAGACCCCTCATCACACCCCACTCCCTGCAGAGCCCCCACCCCGCTCTGTGCACCGAGAGAGCTCCACTCTGCACCCCGCAGAGCCCCCACCCCACCTTTTGGCTCCCCACAGCCCCCGGCAGAACCCCCGTTACGGTGAGATGGGGTTAGCATGCAGTGACCCCCGGACCGGGGAAGGGACTGGACAAGGAGCGCAGCCCGAGGCCAGAGCCCGGTGGGACCCCTCAGGAGCTGCACGGAGCCGCCGGACCCTGCTCGGTGCAGCGGTGGAGACGCCGGTGGCCGCGCCAGCCCCTAGCCGCTCCCACGGGCCCCGACGGCGGCGGCCGAGGACCGGGCGCTGCGGAAACCGGCAGAGATCACGGTCCCCGCCTTGACTGGTCGGTCCCCGAGCCCGCACCGACCCGCACCGCGTCTCGCCCGCCGCGCCGCACCGCCCCGACGGAGCCCCGGGAAATGCCGGTGTCTTGTGAGCCCCGGAGCCGTCAAAAGCCGCCGGCAGCAGTCCCGCCCGCTCACCTGAGAGCCGGTCCTTGGCGATGCGGCGCGTGGTCTCCATCCAGGGGAAGGTGAGCCCCGGCAGCGCGGGCCCCGGGGGCTGCGCGGCGGGGGCGGCGGGCGGCGGAGCGGGCGCGGGTCGGTGTGCCGGGACGCGGATGACCCCGGCGGGCGGCGCGGCGGGCGAGGGGGTCACGTTCACGCTCACGTTCATGCTCATGTTGAGGTTGTAGGAACCGAGCGGACCGGCGGGGCCGTACCCGCCGCCGTACAGCCCGTAGTCGGGCTCCGCAGCCGCCCGGTGCGGCCCCGCGGGCTCGGGGCCGCCCAGGATCTGGTCGATGCCGAAGCTGATGGGCTCGTGGGGCGCGGGGGGACCCGGGCCGCTGCCCTCCCGCTCCATCGCGGCCGCGCTCAGAGCCGGCGGGGCGCGGGCATGGCCGGAGGACGGCGAGGGGTGGCAGCGAAGGCGGTCACGGGGTGCCTGGTGCGGGACAGGGCGCGGTGCAGGGTGCGGGTGCGGGCCCGGGGCAGGGTGCGGGGTAGGTGCCGGGGGTGGATGCGGAGTGGGTGCCCGCTGCGGGGCAGGTGCGGGGTGCGGGTGCGGGCTCGGGGCAGGGTGCGGGGCATGGCTCGCGGCCGCTGGCGGCCCCGGGGCGGGAGCGCGGGTGGGCTGAGGGCCCCGGCGGGACGCGCTTTTCTGCCCCTCTCCATCCGGACCGACCGAACTCCCACCGCCCGCGCCCTGATTGGCGGCCGCGCCCCTTGATTGACAGCCCGGGGCCCCGCCCCGAGCCCCCTCCCGCCGCCGCCGCCGCCGCCGCTCCGGACCGGGCGGATGGGCCCGTCGGATCCCGAGCGCCCGCGCCCCGCCCGGCCCCGGGACCCCTCCGGCGTCTCTCCGCGCTCCCACTCCACCCGCAGCCCCGTCGGGGCTTCCAGCAGGTCCTACCCCTCCCTGCCGGGGCACACGGAGCAGCCCCTGGCGCGGCGCCGTTGTCCCGACCCGGAGCGCACGGAGAGGTCCCGATCCCGCCGCTCTCGGGGCACGCAGGCCTCGCACCGAGCCCGGTCCCGCCGACCCAGTCCAGAGCGGAGCAAACGGATCTGGTGGCCCCGAAGCTGCCGCGCCCGGTACGGGGACCTGGGGTTTGCCCCGGGCCACCCACGACACGGACCCATCCCGGGGACGTGGATTCTGGTACCCCCGAGCTGCTGCTGCAAATTGCAGGAACCCTGGTTCCCGGGAAACCATCGTTCCCGGGGCATCGACCCTGCACCGACTTGCAGTTCCTGGGCCATGCGGACTCGCTGTTCAGGGTGGTGGACCCCGAGACCCTCAGCCCCGCCATTGCCAGTGATGGACCCCAGTCCCCGCGCCGCCTTTCCCGGTCGCGGAGGCCAAGGCGGCCCCGCCGACGGGAGGTAACGGCAGCGGAGAGCGACGCGGGCTGGGCTGGGTCCTCTGGTGACTATCGCGACAGGGGCGCGGTCGCCCCACGGGTGGGTCCCAGCGGCTCCCAGGCGGGTCGTAGCCCCAGGTCAGGATCTGGAGGGGGGGATGGGGGGCCGCCCGGGCACCCTGGCGCCACCGGTCTAGGGCAAATGACATTACGGGGGCCTGCGCCTGTAAATCACGGCGGCACCGGGGGCTGCAGCTGCCGCACCGGGAGCACTGCACGCCCCGGGGGCACCCCACACCCCAGCGGCACTAGGCAGGCCCGGGGGCACCGGGGACACTGCACACCAAGGGCACTCCACATCTTAGGGGCATCGAGCAGGCCCGGGTCAGCGGGTGGTCTCAGACACGCCGCAGTGTGGGGCTCCTGTCCCTGCATCCACAGCTCCGCTGGGGCTGCATGGGCACACGCTCGTGCCACCCTCGTACCGGCCCCACTGTGGCACCGGGCAAGGCCAAGCTGCCCTTTTCCGTACCAGGGTCACAGTGGGAGCCCCCCTGCCGTGGGCGTGGGTCCCTGTGCGCACAGAAATGGAAGGGGGGCACAGCACAGGGACCCTGCCCTATCGGGGCCATGGCTTCCTGGTGTTCCTGGCTCACAGCCTGACAGGTGCCTGGACAAACACCCAGTGCTCCTGCTGTGGCTTTCCCACCAGGAGAGAGCCCCCGGCAAAGGGGCTCACTGTGACCCAGTGGGGTGCAGCCGGTGGTGGTGGCAGTGGCGGTGACGGTGGTGACAGTGCCAGCGGCGGCAGTGACAGCGGTGGTGGGAGGAAATGGCCGGTGCTGGAGGAGGAGGCGGCAGCAGGTTAATTGAACCCGGAGCAGAAGGCAGATGTTGCCATGCCCAGGGGCTGAAATCTGCCGGGCTGGGAGATGGATTGGGGGGCTGGGATGGGGCCAGGGGTGACACAGGCTCACCCGGCGCCTGCCTGCACCGGGACCCGCCCCATGCCCACGGGGGTCTGCAGGCAGCACTCCTGGCCGGAGCAGCCCCCCTGCCTAGCACCTTCCAACAGCAAGGCCAGGGCTGCAGGGAAGGGCCGAGGGTGCTAAGAGAGTCGTGAGCCCCCTCCTGCCCCGGCTGTGGATGCAGGGTGCCCCTCAGTGTCACTGCTTCGTGCCACTGGCCCTGTCCACCCGTGGGCTACCGGAATGGAGGCCATGTCCCTGTGCCTGTCCCAGGGTCCCCAGAGCCACTGTGAGGCCAGGCAGCGACCCTGCCCCTGGGACCCCCCACTGTGCCAGTACAAACCCTTCCTCATTCCTTGGCCACAGCAGGGACCCCCCACATCCTTGGTGTATGCCTCCTCCCACCTCAGGGGGGGCTGGCCTGGGGGTCTTCATTGGGCACAGGGGACACATCCACATGTCAGGCAGAAACATGACCTGGCAGCTGGGTGGCAGGGATGGCTGTAGGGAACGCAGTGAAAAAGGGGAGCTTGCTCAGTTCCAGGAGGGAATCAACCTTTTGGCCTCTGCTGCACCAGGTCCTGCCACCACCAGACCTGCACCCCCACCCCAACCCCCCGGGCCACCCTGACCCTCAGCACAGCCGAGCTGAGAGCAAGGGGGTCACACAGGGGGTCTGGCCCCCACTCACCCCCCCCAAGGGGCTCCTGCCAGGAACTGCCAGGGCCTTCACCCTGTCCCCCACCACGGCCCTGGAGCTGCCGGTGCAGTTGTGCAGCTTCGTGGTGCCACGTTCCTGGTGCTGCCGTGCCGGCGGCCCCGTCCCCAGCAGCGATGCTGTGGGCACTGCTGCCGGAGTGGGGGTCGCTGGGACAGGTCCCTGCCTGCCCCCGGTGCCGCCGGCGGTCGCCCCGGTGCCCCGGCCATCGCAGCGATGGCGCGGCGGGGACGTGGCAGGGCCCCACTTCCCACCGGCCAGAGGCTGCCGAGCGCCCGCTCCCGCCCGCTCCCCCCCGTAATCTCATTACTGTTGGACGTCCCCTTCTTCCTCCCGCTTCCCCCCAAACCCGCTGGCAAACTGGAGGGACAGTCAGCTCCTCTCTGGCTGCTGGGTTAATTCTGGGCTAATTAGATGAACCAGCCCAGATTGGATTACTTTAGCCTGCATTTGGTCCTCCAGTCCTTGGCTTGCGGCTCCCGGGGGAGCTGCTGGCGCCTCCTGCCTCAATCAGACACTTCTTAACCGCATGAAACACTCCCGGTGCCCCCCGCCGCCCGCCCGCCGCGGGCGCCGGCACCCGGACAGGGTGCGCGGGGTAAGGCTGCAGCAGCCGGTGGGCGCGGTGCCCACCCCGACCCGCCCGACCCGCCGGGAGGGCTGGGATGGGGATGGATGGGGACAGAATAGGGCTGCGGTGGATTCGGGATGGGGTCAGGAGGGGATCGGGATGGGGTTGGTATAGGGCGGGGATGAGGTCAGGACGGGATCGATGTGGCCACTGGGGCTCCCGGGGCCCCGATGGCCGAGTCGCCCGGCCGGACGTCACGGTGGCCCTCGGCGTCTGCGCGGTGTCCTCGGGGAGGAGCCGGTGCCACATGGATGCGGGGGCGGCTGCACGGTGACGCCAACCCCCGGCTGTGGGGGCTGCTCGCCCCGGGCACCCCCAGACGGCAGCCCCTGAGGCGGGGAACAGCGGGGTCGGGGGGCAGGGCAGCCCCCTCCCCAGTGGGTGCCGGGGGCCCGGACTGAGGGTGCAGCTGGGAGCAGGGGCAGAGGAGCTGGGGGGAGGCATAGCCTGGGCTAGAGAGGCTGCAGAGGTGCTGTGTTTGCACGTCTCTATCTGCGAGGTGTCCCAGTGAGCGCTGCCAGTCGGCAGCACCTGCCATGGCCAGCTCTGATGCCAGTGGGACAGCAGCCGAGCCCCCAGCCCTTCAGTGGAGTGAGGGCAGCAGGGAGGGCAATGGAGCAGGGGGCAGAAGGGGGCACTGCGGGAGTGGGGGCACACCTTGGGCTCCAGGACAGGCAGCTCCAGCCCCCGGTCAGTAGGGCCAGTGCCTAGGAGCCATGGGTAGGCACACCAGGACCCTCTTCCATGCTGGGTGCTCCTTGGGGTGCCCGTGTACCCCCATCCCCGCCTATCCAGGGCCCAACGCCAGCTGGGGGCTGCTGGGGGGTCCTGCCTGGCCAGGGGCTGTGGTGACAGTGCTGCCCATCCCACTGGACTGGGTGCTCATCAGGGGCTGCCATGTGCCAGTGTCCGGTGTCCACTGACAGCCATGTGCCGGTGGCCGGTGGCCGCTGACAGCCGCGTTGCTCAGGGCCTCGTTATCGAAGGTTAATTGGATTCTGCAGATGCACTCGGTGCATTAGACAGGAGCTCAGTCCATAAGTGCCCAGCCCCCGCCACAATGAGGACCCCTGCCCGCCTACCAGGGATCCCTGCATACCCTCTGGGGACCCTTGCCCACCTCACAGGGACTGCTGGGAGACCCCTGCCCACCCTATGGAGACTCCTGTCCATCCTTGAAGACTCCTGCCTACCTTGATACGGTCCCCTGCCCACTCCCTACCAGCACTGCTGGGGACCCTTGCCCATCCTGCCTGCTCTGAGGTTCCCTCGCCTTCCCTAAAGGACTTTTTGCTCACCTTACAGGGACCCCTGACCACCCTGGTGGAGCCATGTCCACACACCCTGTCACAGCCCCCTGCCTGCCTTGCCATGGTTACACCATCCTCAGAGCGCCCATGGGGCCACGACCCAGCATGTGGGGCCAGCGTGGGGCTGGGCCAGTGGCTCCAGCCACGGGAAAGCCAGGACAGGATCTTGGCTCCAGCTGTGGTACGGTGGAACCGAGCAGGGCAGCCTAACACTGCTGGCCTGCACCACTGCGATCATGAGCGAGTCTGGCCTCAGCCCAGCCCCAGCCCTGCTCCCACTGCGGTCACAAACACGTCCGGCCTCGGCCCAGCCTCGCTCAGCCCCAGTGAGGGGTCTGGCCAGGAAAGCCCCTGGCAACACTTCCCAGAAGGAGCCGCCCCGGCCCTGCCGCGGAAATGGAGCTGAATATCTGAGCAGGGTGAGCTAAAAGCCTCAGCCCCGAAGCCCCACGCGTCCCTGGCGGCTCCCACCATCAATTATTAACGGAGAGATGGATCCGTGGCCTCGCGCGTGCCCGGCTGGCAGGGGCAGCTCCATGAGCACCCACTGCTGGCACCCCGGCCCGGGGAGGGCACCCTGCCCCCAGCCCCGTGGGGCCCGTGCACAGCCACCCACGGAGCCCACTCCTTCTCTGGTCGGGGCTGCCGGTGCTATTGCCCAGTGCCGTGCCGGTGCTCATCACG